AAGTGGTTCACTGAGTGGTCCCCGGAGCCCAGCACACAGTGGGTGCTCAGCAAACACTTGTGGAGTTCCTGCCTGGCTCAGTCCCTTCTGTGACCCGAATGCCTGGGGGACATCTGTGTTACCAAGCCCCTAGGGTTGGCCCTGAAAGGTGGAGCAGGTATGGGGGACACAGTGGGGACTGAGGGCATCTGTCAACCAGGCAAGGCTAGGAGGGCTGGGGACAGAGGGCAAGCTGGGTGCTGGTCCCAGAACATCACCCCATGCAGGCCCTGCGGCCCGAGCCTCCCAGCCCCCAGCACTCACCAGTCGGGCGGGTGACAGATACTCTTCCACCAGCTGCTTGCTGTGGCTGCCCGGATGGCTGCCTGGGTCCTTGCTCTGCGGGCAGGGGTTGTGCAGGCCCTGCCAGCTCAGCTCTTGCACTTGGACACTGGCTGTGCTCGGCCGAGGCCCGTGGGCTCTGTCCCAGGCCTGGTCCATGCACATCCGACCTGCCGGGATAGGCAGAGGGCAAGGCAGCTAAGCCTTTGCTCTTCCTCTGACCCCCACACAGTCCTCGACATGTCCCCGCACACAGCAAGCCCCCGGAACCCACCGTGGGCCTGGAGAAGGCTCTCACGGTGCCCTCACCCACTTATTCTCTGCCAGCCTGGGGGTCTCGCAGTCCCCTCCCTGAGCCTTGGCTCACACCCCCTGCCTGGGCGAGTCACCCTCCCTGTGTTGCTGCCCATCCTTCAGGGTCCATGCCAGGGGTGCTGGCTGCAGCTCTGTTTGCTTGGAGGCTTGCTGTGACCAGCGGCAAGCTGCTGCCTCAGGCCCTGTGCTGTGATGGTCTCTGAGCCTGGCTGGCCCAGGACTAGGGTCTCAGGCATACCCTCCCCACCCCGTGCCCATTGAGCCCCCTCACCTGGAGGGAGCTGCCTTTTCCCACTGTGGGTCAAACATCCGGGCAAGGGGGCGGCATGTGGCCTCAGGTGGCACCTGCAAGAGAGATTGGGTTGGCCTCCTGGCCAGGTTACCATGCCCAGGGGACCTGGGACAGGCTGAGCTGAGGTCACAGGACCCAGAAGGGAGCGGGTGTGGAGGTGGTAAGGGCTCAGGTCCTTCCCACCATCCTGATGGGGTATCGGGCCCAGCTGACAAGGAAGACAGCTGGGTGGGTGACTGATGCTGGAGTCCCTCTGGGTCTGTCCAGTGCAAATGGTCCTCATTCAAATCCCTGCTTCCCTCCATCCCTGACTCCACCCTCTCTCCAAAAGGGGTCCTGGGTCTGCTGCTCTGGACTGTCTTCCATGGTCTGGCCTCCCTGGCATCCTGTCCTGCCTGAGCCCCCTGAACCTAGACCCCAGGGAAGGTTGTCTAGTGTGTCCCCAGACCACCTGCACCAGGCTCCTCTGGCATTGTTCCTTAAAGATGCAGATGCCTGTATCTGGCCCTCAATCCTGGAATCATCTCCGGGGGCAGAGCCAGAAGTCTGCCCAGAACATCCTGGCCACCTCCCTCCATCTTGGGTCAAGGCCTTGCTGACCCCCACTCCTGCACTCTCTCCTGCCCTTCCCAGATTTACTTTCCTGCTAAGACTGACCGCTTCTACAACCCTCGTGTTTTACGACACATTCAGCTGAGTGAGCACCTCGCCCGAAGACAATGTGGGCTCGCAGGCAGGACGCTTGCCTGCTGTGTCCACAGTGGGCAGAAGAGAGGCTCTGAAATATTCACCAGAGGAATCCGTGAAGGTGGCAGGTGCAAATTCTGACCACCACTCTCATCTCTCACCCGCTGTGGACATTCATGATTCATCCTCTCCATCAGGTCTAGAGACCCTCCCCCGAACGGCTGGCGGAGTGGTCAGCTGGGTTTTGACAGAGGTGGTGGGAGGGGTTGCTGGGCCCTGGGACAAGCTGCCCAGGCTTTGTGTGCCTTAGTGGCCTTGTCTGGAGAGTGACCCATACACCGAGGATCCAGTAAGGTGAAGGCCATGAGGTGGGCCCCAGCATAGAGCCTCATGGAGTTTCCAGCAGGATTTCTTTCCAAAAGTTCCCTCTGCTGACTCCCTTTCTCCAATTGGTGAAAGGCCCCAAGCCTCCCAGGAGGACCCCACTGCTGTGCCCCCTGGGAAGATGTTGCCCACCCCCACCCCAGGCCTGCCAGCCTGGGACTATGGATAGGGTGTGGGCCAGCCAGGCTGCTGCCCTGGGACACCTGTGGCAGCATAAGGACCGAGCTTGCCGTCTTCTTCCTTCTGTGCCTGAGAGCAGTTGACCCGAGGTCCTGCCCATGACTGGGCCCAGAATACCGGCCCAGGCAAGCGTGAAGGTCTTGGGGTCCAAGGAGCAGGGCCTGGGTTGGAGGCTGTGGCTCCCATCTGGGCACTGTCCCTTCACATTCATGCACTGGGTGGAACCTGTCCACTCTCTTCATGGCCCTGCTCCCACCCTGCCCTGCTGCTCCATGGACCTCCCAAGGCCCCCCAGCTGGAAACCTGGGGCCTCTGTTTCCCTACAGCCCCTGTCTGGCTCATAGGCTTTCTGTGTCCGCTCTGTCCCTCCATCCCTTCATCACACGAGGAAGGCTGGCTCCCCTCCTAGGTCCTCATCGGGGAGACCCCAGAGCAGAGTCTGGGTCCTTGCCTCTCTCTCCCCCAGAGGCAGGGCTTGGGGCTCCTCCTGTCCCCGTGAAGTGGTGTAGTTAGGGTCCCTGGGGGACCAGATTTGACATCGGGGGGCATCACCGAGTCCCCACTGGCTTTGCTGCTTCATCCCCGCGCCCGACCCCTGCGCTCAGTTTCCCCTCCGGCACCGGGGAGATAGCGAGGCCTACGGCCCGAACCCCAAGGTACCCTGGGCTCTCACCTGAGGGGTGGGCCCCGGTGCCCAGTCCTGGGCGCCCTCCGCCGCCGGCTGGCGCTCTCCAACTCCGGGTGTTCTTCCGGCCGCGGGGTTGCGGGGCCTGGGCGCCGTGGCAACGGAGGCAGAGCCTCATTTGAATACTCAAATATTCATGAGCCGCGGGAACGTCTCAGGCGCCACCGGGCCAAGCCACGCCCCTTAGCAACAGTTGCTAGGGCAGGGCGGCGGGGGCGGGGCAGCAGCCAACCCAGCTGGGGGCTCCGGCTGGTACCTCCAGGGACGCGCGTGGGCGCCCCTCGGGCTGGGAGGCAAGCTGGGGCGGAGGTGACACGCCACCAAGCCGGGGGCGCAGACAGGACAGGTGTCAGCCCCCTGCAAAGGCGGTCTGGGGTGGAGACGCGCGCCCACCTGTCCCAGGTGGGAAGCACCCGTGTGAGGGTCGTTCCGGAGGCCTAGGCCCTGTGCGATTTGACTCCACTTGCAAGTTGGTCGATGCCACGATAAGAGGAAGCGCTGTTAGAGAGGACCCCCCTGAGGACGAGGGGAGTGCGGAGCTGGACACCTGGAGAGGAGTCTTGAGTGTCCGCGCCCGCAAGGGACGCCACTACCCGCTTTCATTCATCCGCCTTTACTTCGTGTCTACGCACGTCGGCCGCGAGCCGGGCTCTGTTGTAGCCGCGGTGCACTGCGCGGGACGGCCAGCGGACACAGCCACGGCCTGTGGGGTCGGCGCCGTCGTGGGAACGGGGGCGGCCCCACAGGGGGCCCGCCAAGGTCACGGCCTGCAGTGGGGTGAGCTCCAGGGGATAGCACCGAGCCGGCGGGGGAGGGGATAAGGATGGGAGGGGGTGCCGGCTGAGCACAGGGAGGTTCAGCCTCATGTGTACTGCACCATTCTTTCTTGTAAATAACGAGGGTGTGTTTATGCGTTACTTTGAAATTTTTAAAAATGTTAAAAACATATCTTTTTGAGAGTCTTGAAAGGAGACAGAATGTGCATATTTGTGCTTGGGGTCGGGGGAGACTTCAGGTTATCCCCCCTCCGGCGACTTTTGCGTTGGATTTGCTGGGTACCGCTAGTTAATTGGGCCACATGGTGAGCTTCTGCAGGGTTGGAACCTCCGGGTTTGGGGGAGCTGGGTGGGCCGGTTGTCTGCAGGGCCTGTCCAAGTTGGGGGAGGCTGGCGGTGAGGGGGTGCTGGAGAGTGGCCTTCCTCGGAGCCCCGGGTGGGGCTGCGCGCTGGGTAAGTGGGAAGCAAGACCCCTGAACGGAGTAAGAAGATGGAGCCGGACTTGCTGCTCCGCGGGTCAGACGCACCCGCCCAGCCGCGGCGCCCCGGCTGGGCCGCGCTGAAGGACCCCCCCCCTTCCCGAGGCTGCCAGGCGTCTTGTGGGGGGCGCCCATCTCGGAGCCACCTGCGGGGAAGAGGGCGCAGGGCAGCCAGGTCCCGGGCCAATAGGGGTCCCAGGCTTCCGGCGCGGCCCCGGCCTGCTCCTGGCGCCAGACCCTCGGCCCTGCGGCCCCCTGCCTCTCTCTACTCCAAGCCCGGGGGGCGTCCGTGGTGCTGGTCCTGGGGGCTCCGCCCGCCCTGGGGCTCGGCCCCAGGCTGTCCCTCCCGTCCCGGGGCCCCGTGGGTGGGCTGCGGGGCTCTGAGCTGGGAAGGCCTCGGGGGGCGCGGGCGCGCCTGCGCGTCAGGGAGATGCCGCGGAGCCCGGCGCGGGGCTCCCCTAGCAGCGCAGGGGCTCGAGCCCGACCCCGGCGACCCCAGCGAGTCCACACCCGGCCGCGGACCCGCATCCTCGCGGGGTCTCTATCTCTCCGTGAGTCCAGCCTGCTCTCAAGAGAGTCCAGGCCTTCCCCGAAGAAGACGTCGCCCCCGGCCCCGCGACCCCGACCCTCTCACTCTCATCCGGCGCCAAGCGAGCCAGCCCCCAAGGCCCCGGCCCACGAGGGCCACCCAGCCGGGCACCGCCCTCACCGCCGCTCCCGGAAGCCCCCCATCTGCGGCCCTTGACGGGCGGGCCGCTCGGCCAACCGGAGCGGAGCGCGGCGGGGCGGGGCGAGTCTGGGGCGCGGACAGCCGCATGCGTCCAATGGCAGGCGGCGCTGGGCTGACGGACGGGCGCGGGGCGGGGCGTGCGCTGGCCCGGCCGAGCGTCCGCCGCCCGCAGCCCGAGCCGCACCCGCCGCGGACGGAGCCCATGCGCCGGGCGAGCGGCACCCCCCGGCCCCGGCCCGCGCCCCCGCCCCTGCCCTGGCCTCAGGGGCAGTCGCGCCCGTGAGCGGTGAGTGCGGCGGGGGGCGGCGGGGCTGCGGTGCTGGCCGCTGGAGTTGCGGCGGGGAGCCGGGCGGGGCGGGGAGCCCGCTGTCCTCGCTGGGCGCGCGGGGGCGCAGGTGGGCCGCGGCGGCGGGGGCGCTGGGCGTGCGGGCGGCGAGTCCCCCTGCCTCGCCCAGACCAGCTCCTGGGCACCGTGTCCCCGGCCCTGTCCTCTTTGAGGCCCCTCGGGATGGGGGGGGGGGGTCTGAGCCTAGGCCGACTTGGGGCCATGGCGCTAGGCGGGGTCTCCCGCTTGCCAGAGTCCTCGGGACCCCTCAGAAGACCTCGAGTACCCTGCAGCCATCACACACACAAGGAAAGTCTGGGGTTTAGGAAATCACTGCCTACTGTTCCCTCAAGGGCACCCTCTTATTAAGCATCACAAATTGAGGACACTGCAGCTGGGGGCCTAAGTCCCAGGTCTTTTTTCCTTCCGCCCGGTTCCCCTGCTCCCACACCTGCTGTCGGTCTTTTCCTGTTGGTCAGCTTCTGCTTATGGGAACCCTGGCCCCCGCCTGGCCTCCTCAGCTGCCTTATTTTCTCCAAAGTTCTTATTGCCACAGGGCACCCTGGGGTTCCCTTCATTTTAAGGTGTGCAGATATCCTCCTCCCTGGAGCATAGACTGAGCCCATGAGGGCAGGGGTTCCTTCTCTGCCTGTCACCCTGTGCCTGGAACAGCACCTGGCATGCAGTAGGTGCCCAGTAAAGACTTGTTGAATGCACCAACATGTCCGATGGGGCCTGGAGCCGGTTGTCGACTGGCACTGGCTTGCCTGGGCACGCTATGTGCTCCACCATGGCAAGACCTGTTCCTGTGGGGGGGGGGATTGGTAACCTCAGCCGCGGGCGCCTCCACTCAGGCTTCCTGCCTACCCAGCAACTTCTAATTTGGGTGCGTGGTTGGGAGACGCTCTCGGCTGTCACTCTGCCTTTGGGGGCCAGCTCCCTGCCTCTCCCACATAGTCAGGAAGGGCAGCTGGAGGCGGGACCCTCTCCCATCCCTGGGCTGGAGGTGCCACAGGTGAGTGGCTGGGCCACCCTTCTGGCTGCCACCCCTGTTCCCTGGATGTGCAGCCCCAGAGATCAGGCCAGGCCTGAGCATGCTGGCCCAGGGAGATCAGTGGGCCTGCCCTGCAGGGCCTGGCCATGGCTGATGTGACTTTCTCAGCAGGTGGGACAGGAGACCACTGAAGTGCCTCCTGCCGCAGCCCCTTGAGGAGCGATGACGGAATATAAGCTCGTGGTGGTGGGTGCTGGAGGCGTGGGGAAGAGTGCCTTGACCATCCAGCTCATCCAGAACCACTTTGTGGATGAGTATGACCCCACCATTGAGGTGAGCTGGGATGGCCCTGTTCCCAGCCCTGAATCCTGATGTGGGCATGTCTTCTGTCTGCTCCATAGGAGGGGGTCCCCCTGTCATAGTACCTGGGGTGGAGGGGCACGAGAGGTGCAGAGGAGAGGCTGGTAGTGTGAACGCCCCATCCAAGCAGGGATGGGGGTCCCTGAGCAGTGTCCTCTCGTAGGACTCATACCGGAAGCAAGTGGTCATTGATGGGGAGACGTGCCTGCTGGACATACTGGACACAGCAGGCCAGGAGGAGTACAGTGCTATGCGGGACCAGTACATGCGCACTGGGGAGGGCTTCCTTTGTGTATTTGCCATCAACAACACCAAGTCCTTCGAGGACATCCACCAGTACAGGTGAGCTGCCCGTGGGCCCTCAGGGGCCTCCCTGTCCTCCATCTGCATCTCCTGGATGCAGCCGAACCTGCAGCCTGCTGGCTGATTCACACCTTTCTCCTTGCAGGGAGCAGATCAAGCGGGTGAAGGACTCAGATGACGTGCCCATGGTGCTGGTAGGGAACAAGTGTGACCTGGCGGCACGCACTGTGGAGTCTCGGCAGGCGCAGGACCTTGCCCGCAGCTATGGCATCCCATACATCGAGACGTCGGCCAAGACGCGCCAGGTGAGCCGGTTCTCCACCCCACAGTTAGCCGGGGACCCGCCCCACCCAGCCATACCCCGCCCCCGCCAGGGAGCAGCGCTCACTGCCCCCTCTCCCTCAACACAGGGCAGCCGCTCTGGCTCTGGCTCCGGCTTCAGCTCCGGGACCCTCTGGGACCCTCCGGGACCCCCGTGACCCACCAGCCCCTCCCGCTGTAAGTCTCCCCGGATGGCAGGGCAGTGAGGGAGGCCAGGGCCAGGGTGTGGGCTGATGCAGCTCCAGGGGGAGTGGAGGTCCCTGGAGAGAGCTGCCCTGAGCCAGGCCGGAGCGGTGACCCTGGGGCCCCGTCCCCTTTCCCCAGAGCGCCCTGTGGGCCCTTGTTGGCCCTGACCCCTTAGTGGGCTGTTGGGGACAAAGGCAGTAGTTCAGACAGGACCTGGACACAAGGTGGTCAAGCTCAGAGCCAGACCTGGGGGCTGCCCTGCCCTGTTGGGGAGCTGCTAAGGGAAAGGACTGGGATTCTGCTTGAGCCCGCAGCAGGGGTCCCTGGGTCTCCTCCCCGGCTGGGCCCTGAGGTCGGGTCCCCCTCTGACCTGGCCCCTTCTTCCCAGGGCGTGGAGGATGCCTTTTACACCCTGGTGCGAGAGATCCGGCAGCACAAGGTGCGCAAGCTGAGCCCCCCCGACGAGGGCGGCCCGGGCTGCATGAGCTGCAAGTGCCTGCTCTCCTGACGGCGATGCCGCTGCGTCCACTTGGACGTCCCTGCTGGTCCTTTGTGCCCACCCGGCACAGATGCAGGGCCCAGAGGTGCCGGATGTGGGGAGGAGGTGCAGATGGAGGAAGGAGGGGGGAAGGAAGGAAGGAAGGAAGTGCTGCTGGAGCCCGGCCAGCCCAGGGTCGGTGGACAGAGTGACCGCAGACCTCCCAGGACGTTTTGCACAGACTGTCTTGAACTGACTCCCCTGCACCCCTGCTGTGCTCTCCTCCCGCCCCGTCCTGGCCCGGTGGGCACAGGTCGTTGCAGTAAATTATTTGATGGTCTTGACCCTGGCATCTGTCCGAGGCTGGGAGGCTGCGGTGTGTGTGGCCTCGCACCAGGCACGGTGGGAACCTCAGCTCCATCTGGCCCACGGCCTCTGTGGGGACAGCTGGTGAAGGCTGGTCAGGGGGCTTGGGCCGTGCTGCCTTCTGCCTCCTTGTGGGTGCCCAGCACTTCCTGCAGAGAACCCTGCGGGATGCAAGGACAGGCCAGGTTAGCATTTTAACTCTGAAAACACTGTATTGACCTTTAATCAGTAGGGGAGATATGGAGGCCACAGGCACGTCCCTTCCCCCTGGGAGGGAGGCTTTCTTAGGGAACGCTGAAACCAGACTCGGGGGCTGGTATCCGCACCTTGGAGCCTCGTTGTAACTCCACGTGGGGTTGTGTTTCCCGATTTTGGGGACCCTGAAAGGCTGTTGCTGATGACAGCAGAGTGAGTGACCCGGCCTCCCACAGCGTCCTCCAGCCCGCCTGGAGCAGCAGCGCTCGGGTTCTTGGAGCAGGCCCAGCGCCGTCAGCTCGGCCTTGGGGCTCTGCCCCATCACTGCCAGGTGGCCACTCAGGGCCCGGGGTATGGCCGTTCCTGCCACCTCTGGGGCGGGAGGGTGGGACTGGCCACACACTGCTCAGAGAGACATGGCCCTGCTTAGGGCCAGAGTCCAGGACTGGCCAGGGACACGGGTGGCTCAGTCGCCGCTATCTTCATCCTGGCTGGGGGAGCGCTCATGGTGCTCCTGTCCTCCCAGGGCCCAGGTTCAGGCCAGGCCCCTCTGGATCAGGGACTTGTGCTGTGGGAGGGGGCACCGTTCTGCAGGAAGGCCAGCATGAGGACCCGGGGCACGCTGCTGCTGACTGCCCAGGGCTTCGGAGCCACTGCCCTCTCCATCATGCTCTCCTCCAGAGGACCCCAAGCCTCCAGCTTCCCTGCAGACATGGAGGTCAGGGGCTGGAGGGAACAGTCGGGGCCTCAGGGCAGCTCGCCGGGCCCTGCCAGGGCTTCATATCCGTTGTGCCTGTCACCACCCTGAGAGGGGCATTGGCTGCAGGTGCCACAGGGCAGGAGGGGTGTTCTGGGCCCTGTGGCTTGGTCCTCGTCAGGCTGGACGGGACCTTTTGCTGGGGCCCCAGTGGGGATGCAGGGCTGGGCCTGTCCTGTGGCCCTGGGGGTGGCCCAGGCGGGTGGTAAAGGGAGAGACCCAGCATTCCAGCTCAGAGCCCACGGCTGGGGGCCACCTGTCTGCAGCTTCATGATTCCCTGCGAGGTTTGGCAGGGAGCTGAAATGCTGTGGCTGCAGCTGATTCTGAGAGCTGTCCTGGGCCGGGGACAGGCAGGGCAGACCCGGAACCTCCGAGGCCCCCAGAAATGTGTGAGCAGCCGTGGGCCCTGCGGAGGCCCCCTCGTGCTCTGGCTCCTTCGCCTTGGGGACAGCCTGGGTGGGTGAGGGTCTTGGCCGCTTGTGCTGGACAGGTAGGTGGGAGAGGGCCAGCACGGCCTCATGCGGAGGTTCTCAAAGGTGGGAGAGGCGAAGAGAGGCCAGCAAAGGCCCCGCCCCATTCCCGCCACTTCTCAGAGGGTGCCCTGCCCTGGCCGGGCCAGAGCAGGGGCCATCACCCCCGGGCACACTCAGGCTTCACGGGCTCACTTAGTCCTGTGCACCTTGAGCACGGTGTAGGCCATGGCCGTGAGCACGCGCTCACCCTCCAAGATGTGGGCATCCCAGAGCTTCAGGGTGAGGGAGAAGGGGGTCTGTGGGGACAGCAGGCATGAGAGCACAGCTTTAGCAGAGCCACTGGGGTCCCAGCATGGGGTGAGAACCCCTTGTGCCTCTGGTCCCTGCGTCTGACTAGGTCTCGCAGCTCCTCATCTGGGCGGACTCATCCTGGTGAGGACGTGGCTGCTGGACGAAGGTGCTCCCCGCCAGGCCACACAGGGACCTAAGGGGCTGGCCTGCATGACTGCTGACCTGGCGGGCAACAGGGATGGCCCCCCACCCAGGGGAACACACCTTGAAGGAACAACACTGTCTGCAATGTGGGACAAAGGCTCGTCCACACCCTGGGCTGACCCGGCCTTCCCTCCAGAGCCCAAGTGGAAACAGCCCGGCCCCGGAGCCTGGAGGTGCCCATCCTGGAGTGGGCTCTGGGCTCCCCGGGAGGGGTCCTGGCCCCATTCACCCCTCAGCAGGGCCTGGCCTGTCTGGGCTGAGCTCGGCCCTCCCCGATGTCAGGGGCAGGGAGCGTCCTAGGAGGGGTCCCTGGCAGCCTCACCTGGTCTATGAAGCATTGCAGGAACCACTTGGCTGTGTAGATGCCGGTGCACATGTGTTCCTTGTCCTAAGGGAGGGCAGAGGGCTCAGGGCCCTCCTGGCGCACAAACCTCCCTATGCGGGGCCTTTGCAGCCGCTCCCGGGGGCTGAGTGGATGCTCCTCCCGAAGCCCCGCTCAGCCCCGGCTGCCCCTGGCCACCGGATGAGCAAGATTAGTCCAAACTCTCTAGGCAGCAGGGGCCCGGCCCCTCCCCTGTCCCTACTCTGGGCCAGCGCCCAGGATGAGGCGGTATGCTCCTACTCACCAGGTGCTGCTTTAGCTTCGGGAGCCCTTTGGTGAGGACCTGCTCATGGTGGGCCTGGAACCTGAGCAGTTCCGGCAACCCCAGGACGAAGAAGCCTGAGAAGCCCCCGGCCCCTCCAATCAGAGCCGGATCCCAGCGGGGTTGGGCGCTGGCAGCTGCCCCCACTGAGCCCAAGGCCTCCTCTCGCCCACAGTGACCCCACGTGCGCCCATGGCCTCCCCAGCCTTGGCTGGACACCCTCTACCAGATAGCAGGATGCCCTGAGGCCCGGGGTGGCCAGGGACAGGACCCCCTCATGGAGGCTCTCCTTGGCTGGTGTCCTGTGCTGGGGGTCAGGCAGATATCCCTACCCTGACACCCCCTCAGCTCCCCACTCCCTACAGTGGCCACAGTGGGGGCATGGGGGTCCCATGTGGTGGGTGATGGGGCGTGCACGGACATCTCCTGGGCTTGGGAGTCAGGCTGGGGGTCTGCAGGGGGGGGAGATGCTACCATCTGGGCTTCGTCTGGCCATGGGCCGGGAGGGCAGCTGGGCCAGGGGGCAGATGTGAGGAAGGACCAGCAGAGATGTAAGAATCGTCTGACGAGGACAGAGCCGGGGGCCGTGGCTACAGGACCGAGAGGGCAGCATGGGGCTGCAGTGCCCTCCCTGAGGGGACGTGGATGGGGTGGGGGTCCCCAGGCAGCCTTGCTGCTGGGGGGCTGTGCAGGCAGACCCTCCTGGGCGCTAAGTCACGTCCAGCGGTCCGCAGCGCCCACCTACCATGCATGGCGTGCCTCTCGCTGACCATGAGCTGGGCCAGCGCCCAGAAGGCGTCCTCCTCGCCCAGGAACATTAGCAGGACGGCCGCGACCTCGCTCATGCCCTGGCAGTAGCCCACCTCCTACAAGAGCCAGACCGCACGGCAGGATGACCCGAGCCCGCCTCCCTGCCCTGTGCTCCCATCTCAGCGTCTAGGAGCCCCTGGACAGACCCCTGCCCGGCCCAGGCTCTCAGGGCCCAGAGGGGAGGGGAGGCTCGCGTGGAGCCCCCGAGATGTTGGCGGGGAGAGCCGCTGCAGCAGCTCCGGCGCCAGCACCACGGCAGCCCCGTGCCCGAGCTCTGGGGTGTCCCCCTGGGGTCCCCTTTCTCAGACGAGGGAGAGGCGCCTCCGTGAGGCCCACCAGGGTGACAGGGACCCGCAAGATCTGGAGACCCCGCCATGACTGCCGGCTGGAGCCTGACCGGGCGCAGGATGGCGGCTGGGCCAGACCCCGCTGTGGGCCACCCGTGGAATCGGCTGAGCTGGTGGTGCTTGAGGGAAAGTTCTGGAAAGGGGAGCAGCCGCCCCGGGAGCCGCCTCCCTATCTGCCTCACTCTTAGGGAGTCGGGTTGATGGGGACCTTCCTCCCTGCTGGTTTCTGGTGAATAATGTGGTGGCTTCAGGATCAAAAGTCAAGTGTGACGACAACAGCGATCTCCCTGAGGCCCCGCACTGACTGGTGACACAGCCCCGCCGAGACGGGCGTCCAGCAGCCCCACTGAGCTCGTGGGCCGGGCAGCGCCGGGGGTGAGGGCCCCCTTCTGGTCCTGGAAGTGGAGTCTGCATCCACCCCCTCCGCCTCAGCGTCAGGGGAGAGAGCCCCTTGCTGCGTCTCTGTGACCCTGTGAGTGGAGGCCTGACGCGTGCCTCCTGTCTGGTCACGGACACTCGATTTTAAGAGGCAAGGACAGTGTGGGACCCTGGGCCTGGGGGCGGGATACTCACGGTGTTGTAAACAGAATAGGCCGTGAGTACATAGAACAGGGCTTGCTGCCTAGGCAAGGACGACAGGGGGCGGTGCTGATGCCATCGGGTTCTTTCTGTGACAAACACCGACGACAGAACAGGTGTGGTTAAGAAGTCAGCCAAGAAGCTGACGTCTTCAGGGTGCCTCAGTGTTTAACAACATTTTGGGGTGAAGTCTACATGCGATGAAATGCAGATACCTCAGGGGGACAGTCTGATGAGTTTTTATCTTCATTCTTGATTTTTTAGTTTGTGTACGTCAAAGTTCCGTCTTTCACCATGCAACATTATTTTGTTTGCTCTTTTCACCTCCCCTCTCCTCGGGACCCTCGCGTTCTTCCAGAACCCCTGCATCCCCCCAGGACCTGCATCCCCCACAGGACCCCTGCATCTCTTCTGGGATCCCCATCTCGCCTGGGATTCCCCATGTCACCCTGGGGACCCTGCCTGCCCAGTGGCCTCACTTGATGCCATCATGGTCCCAGAACATAATATGGTTTCAGAATGTTTGGTTCACATCCTGGTCGATCTGTTTGATGTCCTGAGAAAACAGCCTGGCCTGCTCCTTCATTCTCTGTGGGGGAACCAGGAGGAGCCGGCATCAGAGACACGAAACACTACCTGCTGCCAACTGCACCCTGAGCAGAGTGAGCGCTCCTGGC